TTATTGTAGAGATGAGTTCTCGCTGCCCAGGCGGGTCTCGAACCCGCAGGTTCAGGCAATCCACTCACCTCAGCCATGAGTATATTTTTAGCACCCCATATATATTGTTTTAAATATTTATATTTTTTGTATATTTGTTTTATATATATAATTTATATATTTAAATATGTGTGTGTATGCACATATAATTATATGTGTATACTTTTTTGACACCCCATATATTGTTTTAAATATTTATACATTTTGTTTTAAATATATAAATTATATGTAAGTAATTTTAAAAATATATAAATTATATGTAACAAATATATAAAAAGCAAAACAATATATATGGGATGCCAAAAAATGTATATACATTTTAAGTGTGCCATTCGCTCAAAATATGGCATTACTCAAATGAAAGCTAGCATCACCAAGTGACAGGCAGGAGAGTCAAAGAAAATGGTGGAAGCACGGTTGCATGAATGTCATACTACACATTGCTGCCATAATTCAACTGAACTTCAAAAAGTAATACATAGATAACATCTCTTAAAATGTGTATAGTTTTATTGGTACCCCCTGTATATTTAAAACAAAATTATATTTTTGTCTATATATAGATAGATAGCAAATTATTAAAATTTATATCTGTATCTAGATAGATATCAATTTATTAATAATTAAAATTAGTCAAATTAGTAGGTGGCTAGACTTGCAGCCTTTAAGGATTTAACATGGTATAAGTGTGCAAACATTTTATCCAGTTAGGTATAATTGCAACATACAAGTCCACTCACACCCACAAAGGTAAGTCATGTATCACTCACAGGAAGCCTCGGAATCTGTTGAGGTCATTGTTTGGACTTTCACATTCTATCCTACTGGAGAACTTCTCAGGGTCAACTTCAGAGTCCTGAAAATGTTTTTAAAAATCACAAAACAAGAAAAGTTCAAGGCTAAACTCTTGATATTTAACTTATATTGCTCTCATCAATTCTCAATATAGTACTAAGGCTTTTTTTGCAACAAAGTTTATTTCATAAATTTCCCAAATGTAGGAAAACATAGGCATAATTATGAGATCCATAATTGGGATCAGAATGGTTCTAGAACATTCATAAACATTGCAGGTGATAGGAATGTCTGAAATTCATGCAGGACTCTCCAGAAGAGGGCTTTCACTTATAAACACTCTTTTATTCGTAAAAAGCTGAAAATCTGAAAATGCTTTTGTTCTTGGTCTTAATCACAAGGTGGTTTCTGAGATTAAATATACATGTGAACACTTTGAGCATATATGCATTTGATCTCAGGCAAATTTTATAAATAAAAATTTTAAAATAAGCTAGATACCAATATCTTAGAAAATTCTCCAATGGACCAAATGGATTAGCTTAGAATGCTTTATGAAAACAATAAGCAGGTAAACAAAGTACCATAATAGAACACATAATAGAATAAAGCATGGATTTACCAAGAACAGGCCAAATCAACCTGGTTTTCTTTCTTTTATTTTTATATCCTTTTTGGCTAATAAGATAAATGCTATTGATATTGATTAATATAATATTATGTATATCATAGGACACATGGAAAATTATAGGATAACATAATTTGCTTTGCTAATATCTATGGAGTTCTTTTGACACACTAGAATCTATTATGCACTTTAAACATAGCGAATTTCCTCACAATCTCATGAGGTAGGTATTACAATTAGGCCTAATTAACAGATGAGGAAAGAGAGACACAAAGAGAATCAGTAATTTGCTGAAGTTCTCAAAATAAGATGTTCAGACTGAGATTACAACCAAGGCCATCAGATTCTGGAGCTCTCTTCCTTAACTGAACCCAGAACGTGTTGATTAATAACTGACGTCAGACTTTAAGTGGATATTTAGTAGTACAGCAGAGTTTTAAGTTGTGTAGGATTTTTACCAATGTCTAAGGCTATGAGGCCTATCAACCACAGAGGATTGAAATGAAATTCATAGGAAGGAAGGTGGAGGGCAGGGGTGTGACAACACAAAGAGTAACTGGTCCACCACCAGGGGGAGTGAGAGCCAGTTAGAAGTCCAAATGTCACCTGTATGCAGCCTACTTATGTAGAACGTTCTCTCTTGTATACCACATTCTTATAAAAATAAAATAAAGAAATCCATAGATTGAAAGATAGGCCCAAAGCTACAAGATAACATTTACCAAAGGTAAAGGTATTCGCAGGCTAAACATAGGATGAAGGAAACCTGATTTAGTAGTTCAGGTTAAAAAAAAAATTTTTTTAAAGGTTTCATCTCAAGTGTTTCAGAGAAAGGGGAGAAACCCTGACACGTAGGCACTATACACAATGTTTCTATGTTCATGACTTCATTTGAATCTTATAACAATGCTATGAAGTAGACACCATCATTTATATCTTATGATAAGGAAACTGAGGCATCAAGTGTTTAAGTGACTTGCCCAAAGTTATGTGGTAATTAATAGCAGAGGTCTGACGCATTTAAATTCACGCCAATAGAAAACTTCAAAGTTTTGTTCCTTCAGCACAGCGTGGTGAAGGGTTTACAAACTATGTGGTATGAGAAACTGTAAAAGCCTCAAAAGACTTTGGTGTAGAAGTAATTACAGATTTTAGGAACAATGCTCAACAAAACATACTATACAAAATCTAAGCTATATAAAAAATAAGCAGGCAAGCTGGGCTCCGTGGCTCAGCCCGTAATCCTGAGCCTTTGGGAGGCTGAGGTGAGTGGATTGCCTGAGACTGCGGGTTTGAGACCCGCCTGGGCAGCGAGACCTCATCTCTACAATAAATCAAAAAATTAGCCAGGCATGGTAGCGCATGCCTGTAATTCCAGCTACTTGGAAGGATGAGGCGGAAGGATCACTGGAGCCCAGCAGGTCGAGGCTGCGGTGGCCGGGAACCGCCACTGCACTCCAGTCTGGGTGATAGAGTGAGAATCCAACTCAATAAATAAATAAATAAATAAATAAGCAGGCAATTTCTACTGCGAAATACTTTTCCTGATTGCAAAATAAGTCTGTTAGGTTCCTTTAATTCCATTTCCCCAAAATATGGTTGCCAGACTAAAGTGTGTGAACTCCAAAGTTATTTTACTCCATTATCTTTAAAATAGAGTACATGTCCATGGAAATCCAAAAGTGGAGTAAAACCTTCTGAGACTCTATTTCATCATGTTAAAAATGAATTTAAAAATCTCTTTATCCATTGGCTGAGCATGGTGGCTCATGCTTGTAATCAGAGGATTTTGGGAGAGACCGAGGCGGGAAGATTACTTTAGGCCAGGAGTTTGAGACCAGCCTGGGTAACATATTGAGACCTCATTTCCACAGAAAATAAAAAAAAATTAGCCAGGTGTGGTGAGTAATCCTAGCTACTCAGGAGGCTGAGGCAGGAGGACTGCCTGAGCCCAGCAGGTCGAGTCTGCAATAAGCCATGACTGTGCCACTGCCCCCCAGCCCGGGCAACAGAATGAGATCCCAACAAAAAACAAACATACAACAACAACAGCGGAAAAAAAATTTCTTTATCTGTGAAAATGAGCTTAGTCATGTTTTTTTTTTAAAAATTTTTTTTCCGAGAAAGCAGGATTTATTGAGAGGACAGAAAAGTTTCCATAGTGGGTGAAAACCTAAAGGGGATGCCCAGTCATGTTCTTAAAAAAAATGTTAACAGGCTACCCACTGAGAACATAACACTTACCTGCTCTGTGTATCCCCGAACTACCTGCCTCTGTTTTAAGTTGCTCTCTCCATCGAGACCAGAAGTCTCAATGTGACAGATGCCATCCGGATCAGTGGAGAAGAGTAACACCATGTCTGCAGGGATCACCTCATTGCAGGAGAGGCGAATAAAGTCCCCAACAGTAACATCTTTCCAGCATCGGTCGACGTAGTTTTTTTCCTTCCTAAAATTGAATTTTAAAAAATTTAGAAAGAATATCAGGCCAACAACACATGTAGTTGTTTTTTAAAAATTTTTAGTGTATAATTTAAAGTATGTGTAAAATATTAGGGTAAATATTACTCTATAAATGTTAAAAGAAAAGCCACAGATGTGGCAAAACCTAAACTCAACAAATGCTTCATCTAAAAAAGTAGTTACTAAGACACTAAGACATAGTTTCCAGCTCTTTTTTTTTTTCCCCTGTGGGATTTTGAACCATTGTGCTGTTTGAGTGTAATTCTGGGATAAAACTAAAATCAGCATTTGATGGGTGAGTGTAATTCTGGGATAAAACTAAAATCAGCATTTCATGGGCTTATTCATACACAAAGCGATTCTTGCACACTGCTCTGTGGTCAGGTACCAAGAGTCTGAAGACACCCAAAACACATCCACTCTCAGAGAGCTTCCCAATGGATGGTTGGGAGAATTCTCATCATTCTCTGTACTTTCCCTAGGGTAGAAGGAGGAAATCTGTTTGGTATAATGTCATGTGTTATATTGACTACTTAAGTGGCATTTCACATACAATGCCACTAACAAATATTAGGAAAGTCTATCTCATTCCCTCGCTGTCTACCAAATAACCATAAAAAACTGATGTTTGTCACAAAAGTCTATTTAGTTTAAAAGAAAAGCTATTTTCTAATATATTTGTGGGGCAAAATATAGATATTCGAATTCACTGACAGAGAATTCTTAGAGACAGTTATTTTTGAAGTTATATGACCTATATATTAAAAATTATTAACATTATTATTTTTTAGTTGGAATCTCACTCTGTCATCCAGGCTGGAGTGCAGTGGCATGCTCATGGATACCACAGCCTCAACCTGCTGGGCTTAGGCAATCCTTCTGCTTCAGCCTCCCAAGTAGCTGGGACCACAGGAGTGCACCACCACACCTGGATAATTTATTGATTTATTGTAGAGATGAGGTCTTGCTATGTTGTCCAGGCTGGCCTCAAGCCCCTGGGCTCAGGCAATCCTCTCACCTCCACCTCCCTAAGTGCTGGGATTATAGTCGTGAGCCACCATGCCAGGCTAAAAATTATTAATTTATCAGATTAAATAGAAATGCCACCTTAGACGAACACTTTTATAACTTCTGCCACACAGAATTATATCAGATATTTCATGAAATATTTAGCTTAAAAGGCTACCTAAGAAGTACATTTTTAGGACATCCCAAATGCACAAGGTTGAGACCATCTATAGGAAATCCCTGATTATCTGCAGAGTCTGTTAGCCCATGGAGAAAGGCAGATCAATGGTTTATTTTGTCTTTACCAAATTTTCCCTAGTGTCTGTGCATACCAATTAATTCTTCCATGGAGGAAAGTGACAGAGAAAAGATAAAAAAGTAGGGAGGGCTCATATTTTGAAGGTCCAGTTCTCCATGCCACAACTAGGAGTAGGGATTTCACTCCATAGGAAATGGAGAGTCACCAAAGGTCACAGGAAGAAGGATGTGATTCTACTTCTGTATTCTAACTCTGGAGACAAAGGAATGGATGGATTATCTAGTAGAAGGCTAGTTAGGAGTAGGAATGGCCAGAGACCAATGGAAAGTTATTGAGATAATTCATGGGAGGGATAAAGATGGTCAGAATTAAGGCAGTAGCAAGAAAGAAAGACAAAAGATGAAATCAAGATGTATTTGTTAGGTATACCCAAGACAACTACATTTTCTGATGTAACTACATGTAAAGGAATTATCAAGGATGACTATAGCTCTTAACTTGTATGATGAGGTGATGGGTGGTACCTTTTACCATACCTACCTCAGATTTTAGAAGCAACTGAGGTATCACAGGGAGATAAATTCAGTGTGAAAAGTCTTTCTTTGAAGTGGGACATATTTTTGAAGATAGCTTGAGAGTTTTGAGCTGGAGCTCATGAGATGAGATATAGACACGTGGTCCTAGGTGCACAGAGCACAGTTGATAACCAGGTAAGGACATATGATGTCTTAGAGAAAGATACGTCAAGGCCATAGAGACGTGGAAGAAGACCCAAGAGAAGTGATATCCGAGAAGTCAGGAAAGAAGGGAATTTCAAAGAGGGAGTGAGATAAAAGCCACAAAAGGGCCCTATATAACAAGGACCAAATGGCCTATAGGATTTGGCTATTAGGGGGTCTGCTGATCTCAGAGGGAGTTCATAACATAACATTGTGAAGAGTGAAGGAGAAAGTGTACTCCAGTGGTCAGGGAATGGGTAGAAGTAGAGTGTTTCCTGAAGTTTAGCTGTAAATGGAATAAGGGGTGAAAGTAGCCAGTGGGAAATAGGGCAAGTCAAAGGACAGTAAGGACGAGAGATTGTGTACGTACACAGGGTACAAGGGAGAAGCCAGTGGGGAAGCCTCCATGGAAGAGACGACGGAGACAGGTGGATATGGGTTGAGGCTACAGAGAAGCAACAGGAATAGGTTTAAAAATCCAGACGAGGCCAGGCTCGGTGGCTCAGCCTGTAATCCTAGCACTTTGGGAGGCCGAGGCAAGTGGATTGCCTGAGCCTGCAAGTTCGAGACCAACCTGGGCAACTTGGCGAGACCTCGTCTCTTCAATAAAAAAATAAATTAGCCAGGCGTGGTAGCATGCACCTATAGTTCTGGCTACTTGGAAGGCTGAGGTGGAAGGATCACTGGGGCACAGGAGGTCGACACTGGGGTGGCCATAAGCCTGCCACTGCAATCCAGGCTGGGCGATGGAATGAGACTCCAACTCAAAAAAAAAATACAGACGAAAGAATGTCCATGACAAAAAAGGGAGGTCCTTCTTCATCACTGGTCAGAAGAAGGTGGTAAAAGTATGGCTGGTGTAAGAAGTGATTTGAGGCACGTAATTCATGCTTCCCGGTCTCTCCTTGCTTTCTGAAAAAAGCCACAAGTAAGTTTGCTGAGAATTTGTGATGGTTGGCAGAGAAGACAAACTTGCACATTAGGGTTAGGAATTTTATTTTGCTTTCAAGGATAAGAAGTAGGATTTCTCAAAGGAACAATTTTTTACTCCACACAAAATTCAAATGAAGTCAATTTTACAATTGAAATCACTTCACTTCTCCCCATTTGGAGAACATATCAGGATTTTTTTTGAAATAGCTAATTTTCCCAGTAGCTAGTTAATTCAGATCAATAAACATATACTGGTCATAATATTCCAGTTACTGTTAGGTGTTATGGAGACAAAAATGATTAGGATGCAGTTCCTACTCTAGAGAAGTTATGATCAAAATTGGAAACAGAGACACACTTAGCGATTTCCTAAAAGGGAGGTATGCACAGGTTACCATGGGAGCAAACAGGAAGAACACTGAACCTCGAAGGAGGTGATGCCTGAACTGTTGTCTTGAAGGAAGATCAAGAATGAGTCAGGCCAAAAAAGGAGAAAGGTAAGAAGGCACATTAGTCAGAGGGAACTGCCAGAAATGAAGGAACAAAGATGGACACCATGATAGTGTGGTGTGAAAGTAAGCAACCATGTTCAAAGCCACAGTTAACTAGTGTATGTTTAACAAGGGGACTAGGTTTCCCTCAACTGCCATCCCCACTCCCACTCATCTGACGGTTTCCCACTATTGCCAATTCCTTTCTTATAGTATTATAGTAATTGTTCAAGGTCTGCTTATGAGTGAAAACATATGGTACTCTATTCTTTGTTTTTGTGATAGATCACTGAGTATTATGGACTCTAAATGCATCCATGTTGCTGAGAAGCCCATATGTTTGTTCTTCTAGCGCAGTTAAACCACATTTTATTTGGTGGCCACTGGAGGTGATTGTAGCCAGGAGTCAATGTTAGGATTTGCAGGAGTAGGCTCTGGAACTATCTGTCTTATTTCAAATTCTAGGGCCACTTAGGAGCTGTGTGACCTTGAGCCAGTTACTTACCTTGTCAAGTTCAATGTTTCTAATTTGTGAAAGTGGAGGGAGCATTGTGTTTTCATAACACCAACCACATAATATTGATACAAAAATTAAATGAGTTGAGGTATATAAGGCAATGCTAATGTGTCTAATGATAATTCGTTATTTGTTTATTATAAATAATGTTTAGTGCTTTTGGGGAACATACTATAAAACATCAAAAAGAACAATTCATTTGTAACCTCACACTCTCTTTAAATTTTGTAGAGTAAGAAGTCCACATGCCTCGCCCCCATTCTTGCCCTTCCTTCTCCCTCTTTGCCAACTCCCACACCAGAGAATCACTGTTTACAGTGTGCATTCTTCCCAAACAGGTCCCCCACGCTTATACAGTAGAATTGTGTGACCTTGAACTTGTAAAGCAGCAACATGGGCCTAGGAGTTTTCCTAAAGGAGGGATTGTGTTATATCTGACCAGTGAAGGTCAAACACAATACAAATAACCACCAAGATGCAAGAAATTCTGGCTGCACATTTAGGTTCTGGGAAAAGAAGAAATCTTCTTGCTAGTTGTAATTCATTATCAGGGGAAGCAATCTAGCTTTGTTTTTTCACCTAGCCCCTTTGTAAACTACACTAGTTAACTGTGGCTTTGAACATGGTTGCTTACTTTCACACCACACTATCATGGTGTCCAACTTTGTTCCTTCACTTCTGGCATTTCTCTCTGACTGATGTGCTTTCCCACACAGCAGGCAGTCAAATTTGTTGAATGTCTAATAGTCTTATTTTCAAGACACTTCTGTTACCCTGAAACAGACCTTAAAACTTTATAAATGGCTCCTGGTTTAAAGGCAATCTTAAGAAAGTTTGGTTTTCCATAATAATTTATTCTAACTTAATTGTGATGTAATATAATAGGGTTTATTTTATTTTATTTTATTTTTTTGAGTTGGAGTCTCACTCTGTCACCCAGACTGGAGTGCAGTGGCCACTTCTGGCCACTGCAGCCTCAACCTGG